ATAAAGACCTAAGTTGTGCTCCAAGGAGGAGCTCAGTGCTGAAGCATACATAATTTTCTTTCCTGGTTATCTAAGTTACCTATCAAGAAATAGTACTCTAATTGTAAATAGAGATAAGCCAGTTATGAAATAGAAAAAGAAGTCAGGTCATTAGCAGACACTTTCTGGGAAGCTCTTTGGCCTATACTTCCCAGTTGACTGCTTCCTGTCACACCCAGGCTTCTGGCGTTACTGAGGGTATAAATTGCTTTGTGCATTCAGCCCAGCCAGAGCCAACATGAAGACACCCACAGTCTTGGTTTTGGTGGTTTTGATCGCCACAGTGATGGACACGGCCTATCCTCTGTCTTCTTCTGGAAGTAAGTGTGCCAAGGGGACACAATCTAAGAGCAGGAGAGAACTCAAAGGTCACTACAGGCTGAAACTCAGCTGCCACAGGGCAAAGGCTTCTGCCATCTGCTTAGAGCAAACTCCTTATGGCCTATAGGAGTGACCACTCTTTATTTCTTATCTTTCTGTCAGAGAGAAAGAGTTGCCTCTGACAGAAGCTGGGTTAAAGATCAGAAAAGCTCACCTAGTTTGGAGATGTGCCTTGGATGTGGGGGTCACAGGAGCCATTGCTCACAGATGAAGCTGGGGTATGGTGGGATGGGAGAGGTCTGGCTGTCATTAGAGGGTTTACCGCATCTTCTCAGATGTACAGAAGGGGCTGTGATGGTGGAAGTTTCTCTCTGCTGAGACTGTACAGGCTTTGGGGAGGGAGCACACTCTCCCACAGCCAGGAAACACGCAGGCCTCAGAGAGAGACTGGAGCTGGTGAAGCTGAGGAAAAAGCCCTGGGGAGCAAAGGAGAATACAGAATTCTCTGCTCTACTGCAGGTGACCAGGCTTTAGACCTCTGGCATCAATTCTCACCCTTGTCTTTCTGACTGCTTCAGATTCCATAAACATCACTGTGTATTTCAGGATTGCAGAAACCTGGAGCTTGTCCCAAGGGGCCCCCAAATACTGGAGGAGCGTGTGTTGAGAGGTGCTCTGGAGATGATTCCTGCCCTGGGAAAATGAAGTGCTGCAGCAATGGGTGTGGACATGTCTGCCTACCTCCTGTTTCCTAAGTGAGTACAGTCCAGGGTCTCACTTTCCTATTGTTGAGACACCAAGACCAAGAGAACTTATGGAACAAACTTTCAAACTCCTGCTCCTGTCTCCAGTGACACATCTCCTCCAGCAAGGACACACCTCCTATTCTTGCACATAAGCTCCAACAGCTAAGCACCAAAAATTCAAATATATACGCTTTTGTGTGCCTTAAACCACCAAATCTTTTCAAGATATATCCAAGGGAGTAGTGAGTTCCCAGGGGACTTTGGTGGGACAGTCTCATGCTGCTTTGTCCACTGACTGCACACAAACACCTGGATGTGACCAAGAGAAAGAAACTGGATGTAAACGGCAGCAGGACACTGGGGTACAGGCTCTGTGGCCCTCTCCTCTGCAAAGATCCCCACAGCGACTACAGTGACACAAGTCACCGTGACAAGGATCACATGGCCATAAACGGGGATAGCTCACTCTTCCCCTCCCCAGACTAAGAGGGCTGACTCTCCCAGAGAGCAGACTTTCCTGGGAGGGACAGAGATAATGAAGTAAATGGAAATATTCGTCCACTTGAAGGCCTTATGCAATAGGTAGGCCTGTGTGGGATGAGAGTGAGATGTAAATATAACTAGAGCCACAGACCTGGGTGTCAGCATGAGCGCTGCACCAGACTCCACTAAGTTCTGATCATGGTGACCAGCTTTGCCTGGCGTCAGGACTGGGGGAGGAAGATTGCAAGAGTAAGATCAGCAAGGAGAAAGCTTAGGTCAGCGTACACGGAGCCCACCAGACAAGGAAGGCAAGTTGAGAAGGTGGAAGATTTGCAGATCTTCCTTGGGAGATGGGGAAATGATTGCCCTGGAGAGCTGGGGTGTCTGGGGGTGAAGGTGGGGACAGGACAAAGACCACATCCAAACAGTAATGAGCTGCCCATCATAGCGTGAGAGCCAAACAGCTGGACCTTTCTAAACAGATGAAAATCATGATCAAATTTGTATCGTAGACGGCTGGCAGCCCTGAGGAGGATGGATTCGATGCTTATAAGCCTGACTGAAGATCAGCCCCAAAAGATTCTGAATCCATGGAGCCGGCCTGCTACTCCCTCATCCTAGAACTGCATCCTTAGAAGATAGAAGCCTACAATGTGGTCACTGATTCCTAGTCGTTGTATTCAAAATAAACACTCCTTAGCATTCTCCTGCTGACGAGTTTTTTCCCATTGACTATTCCAATGAGCAGAGCCACCCCAGTAGCCTCCATTAACACCTAGGTCCCAGGATAGAGGACAAGTAGTTCCTCAATAATCCCTCTTCCTCTGCTGTGTCTGTACCTACAAACATGAGAGAGGACATAAGAATATATTCTGGGTGCATTCTGTGACCTTAAGTCTGCTCAAGCAAACAAAATAAGTGAGTATGTACCACCAAGCAGGCCTGCTGGGGCTGCATTTACTGGGTCATGATTCAGGAGGAGCAGGAAGGGCTCAGGGAATTCCCTGTTCTAAGGCAGTACAACCTCCTGCTGGACTGGATCGCCTACTCCAGGAACACAGCCATGGCCTCTGGATTGTGGGTTCTGCTTAGCATGAGTTCATAGGCTCAGGGAGTAGGTTCAGGGGTGAATAGCACAAGCTGCTCTTTCAGAGGACCTGAGGTCAGTTCCCAACATCCATTACATTATAAGTGGCTGATAACTCCCTATAACTCCTGCTTCAGGTATCCTGACAACTCTAATGTCCTCAGACACCCACCTTCATGTGCCCATGCACCCCACTCTCACCCCAATGACAGCATTACAACTCCAGAGGGAAAGGTATCCTGACTAGTCAGGAAGTTAGTCTATACCTGCAAGCATTATAGTTCTGAAGGGAAAGGTATCCTGACTTACTTGAAAGTCAGGATTGGCCTGCAGCTCTAAAGGAAGGTTTCCTGGATACCTACAGCTCTAGAGGAAAAGGTATCCTGTGAAGGGAAGGCATGCTGGGTACCTGCACTGTGAGGAGAAAGGTATCCTGACCTGTCAGGAAGTCAGGCTATACCTGAAGCTGGGATCCAGTGGGGGATGGTCTCCCTGCAGGATGTGGCAAGCCTGCTCATGTCTCCAGTGACACATCTCCTCCAGCGAGGACACACCTATTTTTGCACATACGCTCCAACAAGTATGCACCAAAAATACAAATATATACACTTCTGTGGGCCTTTCAAACATCCAAGTCCTTTCAAGATATATCCAAGGGAGTAGTGAGTTTTCAGGTGACTTTGGTGGGACAGTCTCATGCTGCTTTGTCCACTGACTGCAACAAGCATCCGGATGTGACCAAGTAAAGAAACTGGAGTTAAATGGCAGTTTAATTCTTCTCTGGGGGGGGGGAGTGAGGGAGGGAGAGAGACACACACACACAGAGAGAGAGAGAGAGAGAGAGAGAGAGAGAGAGAGAGAGAGAACCATCACAGAGCAGCTCTGCTCTGCACCCATAATGCAGCTTCCCAGCAGAGGTATCCATTTCTTCTCAGCTCAGTCCCAAGATGGTACTTCTTCTGCTTCACTCTGCTAATGGAAAACCTCTGCAGAAACGTACAATCTGCCCTGGCTCTGGTGAAAAGTTGTTACTTCTGTCCTGATTCTTTAAGGGAGCTTCCCGGAAAATTGTCAGTTGCTTCTTCTGCTCTGCTCTGCTAAGGGAGCTTCCCAGCAGAGATTCTGCTCCACACTGGAGAAAGATCTTCACCCAAAACTCTTTCAATAGATTTATCTGGGAAGGAGGAATCCAGGAGAGTGACTGCCTCTGCAGGATAGAGGACAGCTGCCAACTGCACAGGCAGAGGGGGTATATAGACCTTCTTAGGGCCAGAGATTTTTGGAGGGCGGGGGGCGGGGGGGGGAGGATTGGTCAGATTTTGGTTCCCTTGAGCTTGGACAAGTTTAGATTGTCTAGATTTTCTACTCAGGGCTTGGTAGGTTTTCTACTCAGAGACTGGTAGGTTTCATGTTCAGTTAATCAAGGGCAGATTTGGCTCTGGTTTCAGGGTAAAAGTGTGTTTCTTTCATTGGCCCGGTTTAGCCTTTTGGCTCTACTTTTGAGAGGGCCAGGATATCATACCATACCAAGATCCTAATAACTCACTTAAATATTAGGCCTCAGTTCCTGCCTCTTGAAACTGAACAGGCAGTTTCTGAGGAAGCCGTGGAGTATGGACAGTCAATCACCAATGCCCCTGATGGTGAGGTCACCAGGAAAACTGCACTTACCAGTTCTAAACCAGCCTCTCAGTATCTCGAGGCAATGACCAAATAAGGATAGATCCTGGTATTTGTTCAAGCCTGCCCAAAATTCCAAAGACTATAGCTTTAGTTTGACCCTGCTAACCCTAACCAATCAGAAATGTACCAGTCTGATTGACACTCATGTAAGCCAATCCTAGATAGAATGACCTCACTTTCTTTAGAATTCCTTTAGCTGTGTATAAAAGGAGCCTGCAGCTTCTCTTGGGATCATTGCCATTTTACCTTTGTGTCGGGTGTGTGGCCCCTATATGCTGGATCTCTCTTTTTTTATGGTTTATTTAACTTTATTTTATGTGCATTGGTGTGAAGGTGTCAGATCCCCTGGGACTGGATCTTCAGGCAGCTGTGAGCTGCCATGTGGGTGCTGGGAATTGAACCCCGGTCCTCTGGAAGAGTAGTCAGTGCTCTTAACCGCTGAGCCATCTCTCCAGCCCTCACCAGATATCGTTTTATCTCGAACATTAAACACTCTTGCTAATTGCATACAAGTCCTGTGGTCTTTGAGGGACTTCTTTAAGACCCTAACAGTTTCAGGGTGAGGGTGTGTTTCTTTCCCTTGCTCTGGACTGTGTTTCTTTGGCTCTGGATCAGGGTCAGACTGTGTTTCTGTGGTTCTGGTTTTAGGGCCAAATTGTTTTTTCAGTGGCTCTAGTATCAGGGCTAGGGTGAGTTTTTTGCTTTGTTTTGTTTTGCTGGCTGACCCTGGTTTCAGGGCCAGGGTGGATTTTTCCGGATGGCCCTATTACCCTACACTAGGTCTCCTTTATAGCTCCTTCATCTGTCTAATATTTGTTCACCACCTGGATCTGCCATCCTTCTGATCTCCAGTCCCTTCAGCCAGGCTCATCCTGCTCTTTGCTTCTGCAGCCAAACAAGAAAAGAAAAGGAAAGAAAAGAAAAGAAAAGAAATAGTAAATAGAAAACAACTGCTGGATCTTATGAATTTATGGTTATTCCATAAATTATAACATTATAAACAAACACACATGATCTGCCTTTGTTTCTGACATAAGATGCACACAGCAGAACGGGAAAAGCTACAGGCACCAAGACTGTTTTCCTCAATCCGAAGGAAGGACTGGGAACCCATGGATCAAAGCTTGTGGCCAAACAAAGCCCCCCGGTCCCTGAGAAGTAACCTGCAAAGACAACTCCAAAGCCAGCCACCTGATGGCTATGGCACCTGCACAGCTGGTGGCATTTTTCCACTCCAGCTCTTTCTTGGGAGTCTATAATTGGGGCAACACACGAGACAGGCACTCTCTCCAGCAACTAACTAGGGATGCGGCCGTTCTCCTGTGGCTCCCGTCCCTCCTCTGCTCACCAGTGCAGCTTTCTTTCTAAAGTCCTGTCTTACAGAAAAGCATGGGTCTCAGAAGACCGACCATCACAGCAGAGCATGCCTGCTTTGTACTGGCTAATCTTTGAGTATCCACCTCTTCCAGGGGAAACCTCATTGCCTACTTCAGCAGGTTAGAGGGGAATCAATTCCACAGTAGTTTAGGGATCTCATCTGTAGAGCTCCAAACAGCACAAGCTCCGTCTCTCCCAGAAGCAGGCTACATACAGTCTTACAGAACTGGGTGTCTTGGACCCCCCCCCCCCCATGGCCCTGACATTTCATGGTGGCCTCTCCACTTCAGCTCTCACTCTGAGCTGTCCTTTGCTCACTGATTCATAAAGGGCTAATCTGTGCTGTAAGGAGGAACTCGGTATTCAAACAGACTTAGATTCCCCCTGGCTATCTAGCCTACCTATCAAGAAACAATAATCTAGTTGTATTTGAAGAGAAGCCAGTTACAAAAAGAAGGAGCCAGGATATCCGCAGGCACTTTCTGGAGAGTTCTTTTTTCCTTTACTTGCTGATTGCTTGCCTCCTGCACACGGGTGCTTCTAAAGTTGCTGAGACTATAAATTGGTGTGTGTGTGTTCAACACAGTCAGAGCCAACATGAAGACATCCACAGTCTTGGTTCTGCTGGCTTTGATTGCCTGTACTCTGGCTTCTACCACAAGTAAGGGGCTAAAGAATGACAGGCTGAGAGTAGAGAGGACTCAAAGGTCACCAGGGCCTGAGACTCCGGCTGCCACAAGGGAAAGCCATGTGTTTACTGTGTGGATCAAAACTCACTTTTTTTGACCTATATGAGTGATCATACCACATTTCTTATATGAGAGAGAGAGAGAAGGAGAGAGAGAGTTAGAGTTGATCTGACAGAAGCTGGGTTAAAGATCAGAAAAGCTCACCTAGTTTGGAGATGTGCCTTGGATGTGGGGGTCACAGGAGCCATTGCTCACAGATGAAGCTGGGGTATGGTGGGATGGGAGAGGTCTGGCTGTCATTAGAGGGTTTACCGCATCTTCTCAGATGTACAGAAGGGGCTGTGATGGTGGAAGTTTCTTTCTGCTGAGGCTGTACAGGCTTTGGGGAGGGAGCACACTCTCCCACAGCCAGGAAACACGCAGGCCTCAGAGAGAGACTGGAGCTGGTGAAGCTGAGGGAAGAGCCCTGGGGTGCAAAGGAGAATACAGAATTCGCTGCTCTCCTGCAAGTGACCAGGCTTTAGACCTCCGGCATCAATTCTCACCCTTGTCATTCTGACTGCTTCAGGCTCCATAAACATCACTGTGTATTTCATGATTAGAAAAACCTGGAGCGTGTCCCACGTTGCCCCCATTTAGTGGTGGAATTTGTGTTGTGAACTGCTCTGGAGATGATTCTTGCCCCAGGGACCTGAAATGCTGCAACAATTCGTGTGGTCGTGTCTGCAAATCTCCTGTTTACTAGGTGAGTACAGTCCAGGGTCTCGCTTTCCTATTGCTGTGACACTATGACCAAGAGAACTTAGAGAAGAAAGAGTTTATTGGGACCACAGTTTCAGACAGGGAGTCCATGACATCATGGTGGGGAG